GAGAGAGGAATTCTGCAGCATGAAAGTGGATGCATAGCCATTTTCTGCCTTCAAGTTATCTCTGGATAGTTGAACATCATAAAATGCACAAAAAATGGAACTGGAACCACACTTTATTTAACTTAAAAAATCTAAAATGCTGTTTGATAATATATAACACACTGTGGTGTTCAGCTTGTCTCTTCAGTTCTGTGCTTTAATGTTTGCAACTGAATGCACTTTTTAAAAATCTGATAATCACTACATTGTGATGCATATCATATTCCACAGAGCGTAGTTGTACACTTAAGTACACACATCATACCTGTTTCCAGGTATCAACAGTTAACAAAACTTCAGTGAAAAACAATTCTTTTTCATTATACAGTAAAGAACACGGCATTCAAATCACTGGCTAGACACATTAAAAATAAGAATTTGAGAATTGCAGCTCTACAGACATATCCTTCCACATTCAGTCAGTCAAAATTTAAGTTATTTTCCCCAATATAACCATTTGAGTTATTTGTTCTCAAAAAGAAATCTGTGGAGATAGGGTTGTCAACTCCTGGTTGGGACATTCCTGAAGATTTGAGAGTGGATCCTTGGGAGAGTGGGGTTTGGGAAGGGGAGGGACCTCAGCATGGAATAATACCATAGAACTCACCCTGCAAAGCAGCCATTTCCTCCAGATCTCCAGGCCCCATCTGGGGGTTGGCAACCCATACAGATCTTCACAATTTCAAAGTTGTCAATTTAAATTCTGATGATCTTCAACATATGTACAATATATAAATATATTTATATATGTTTATGTACACGGTAGTTAAACATTCATTATAAATAGAACCAACTCAGGCTGTACAAAAATAGCCACTTAGATGACAGCATGCAATTACAGTATGCTTCAAATCAAGTTTATAAAGCATCTCTGTCTTCCTAATATAAATTTCAGCTCACATAGGTTTTAAAGCAGATTTAACAAGAAAGTTCATTTTCCCAGTAAAGGTATAAAAACTATTAATAACACTAAGTACTAACTAAATTAATATACAGTGCTTTTAGGTGATAAGAGTTTCAAGTATGTTTGTCTTTCTTGTGAAAAAATCTAAACAGTATTCGGCTTGTTTACAGCAACTATTCACCTCCTTTGAACAGATAAGTATGACCATAATTCTGAAACCACTGAGGAATACATTTTGGGGGGAATCACATCCTATAAGATAAAGTTAGGGCCAAAGGATGTGCCTGTATGCAAAGGAAGATGGCTTTCCCCTATGTTACCTACAGTGCTGTGTATGCTGGTGCTCATGGGTCCCTGATCCTGTATGCACTGAAATCAGCTGCAACACACACTTTTGCTAGGTTTTTAAGGCCAGAAGTAAAGCACCCAGTTTGATTTCCTGTGGGAAGCTAGATATGGAATTCTTGTTCAGTGCTGCCCACAGACTGGAATATACCTTCTAAGTGTGATGGGTATACAATGAATGCGTGCTCAACCCACTTGCCTCCACACTTCAGACTGCCTTTTCCCTTACTGAGTCAGGCTTTGATGGCGTAGCTGAGCTCCAGAATCACAATGAGGGAAGCTACCTAGAACTGTTGCCGTGCGCTTTGCCAGCAGCTTTAGACTCTGTGGGGGTGGGAAAATAGGCATGACATACTGTGCAGTGACTGTTCATTAAAGGATTTCATTGAATGAAACAGACATAGCAAAGACTATTCCTGTTTTCCAGGCAGCATTATGTGCCATTCCTGCCCACACTACTGGGAAAGCAAGATGATTTCTTTTTAGATACATTATCCCAAACTCATAAGTTCCCATTCAAAACCAGAGTCTGACCTTGGTGTCAAAATGCTTCTGCTTTGCCAAAGGGGTGTTTTGTTTTTTTGAGGGGAAGGACTTTAACAGGCTGTGGAAATGAGAACTGAACTGTTCTTCAAACCTTGCCTCACCTATTTCTGTTTCTTTATACACCTTGAATTCAGGGGATCCCAGCTGCATACTATAGTTCCACCAACATTCTCAGAATCTAGATCCAGCTAAAGAAAGCCTAACTTGGCCCATACTTATTGAAGTATTCCAAACAATGAACACTTAATAATTTAGCATAGCCTTCCTGCCTCTATAAGTTTCACTAATGGTACTAGTTTTAACTGCAAGAATGTAAGTGCACTGTTGATATTGGAATGGAAGCCCTTGGTTAATTGTTTATAGAGCCATCACAGTTAAGTGCAGGCTGAGGACTCACAAAAGGTTCATTTACTTTCTGATCTTCCTTCATGGATGCTGCCTGGTCTGAAATTGAAGAGAAAGATAACTGGTCATGTTCTACTATATGAACTTGATCCTCTTCCTTGTCCTTCTTCACATAGAAAATTTTCCTAAATTTTTTGAGCTCATGAAGTTCACAGAAAGTCTCTAGAACAACCAGCATTGCAATGAGGCCCAGCAAGAGGTAACCTAAAAAGGAATGACAATAGTATTTTAAATATTAGTTCATGAAATTTAAACCACAACACTGTAAGTTTGCACTAACCTATAAAAAGCTGAATGGTCTGGGCTGAAAGCTATTTCTAAGTTTACCCCTGCACATGGAGAAGGTGGCCCTCAAATATATTTTAAATGTACTCCTGTGAGTGGCAGATCTACTGAGTAGGTAAATTTTAGCCATAAAGGACTTGTGTGCAACCCTCATATTTCATTCACGTTTATTTATAATTTCCATCTTGTCCTTTTCCAACAAGGTCAGAATGTTATTTTAACCACTATGAGACAGGCTAGACAGAATCTGTGACATGTCCAGTCACTCCGCTTGTTTCTGAGCAGTGTTCCCTCTAAGCTGAGTTAGTGTGAGTTAGCTCACAGTTTTTTTTAATCCTCCAGCTCACACATTTTTGTCTTAGCTCAGGAAGGAGGGCTCCAGAGCAAACTAATTTATGCAGTAGCCAAATCACTCACTCACAACTTTAATGCCAGCGGCTCACAAAGTTGAATTTTTGCTCACAGGACTCCACAGCTTAGAGGGAACACTGCTTCTGAGCTGACCAAAGATTGGAATTTGGGTTTTCCCCAGGGGTCATTTCCTAGAAAAAGAGGTGCAGGAGCTCATTTGCACAACTCATTTGCATATGCCACACCCCCTGACAAAGGGCAGGCATGTTTAAAATGAGTTATGCAAACGAGTTTAAATCTCCCGAGTCTCTCCGCAAAAGCGGAGAGGCTCAGGGGGAAAGTCAGGGGCACCTGGAGAAGATCGGGCAGGGAACCCAGGCATTTAAATCCCCCCTCACTAGGTGTCGCTGTGGGTGGGGGGGGCGGGGCCTGGGCTCCTTCTTGCCGGAGTAGCGCTCCAGGGCGCTCCAGCAGGAAATGACCCCTGGTTTTCCCACATCCAAAAACATGTCTTTAATTATTGTACTACACTGATTCAGTTTACAAACATTCCGTAGTTCAGGAAGGTCATTTGTTCTGTGCATTTCAGGCATGATCGATGTACTGCACTGTAAGATGTAAAAGCTTGCTGAAAAAGCTGCCTCACTGTGCATACAAATGCGGACCCAAAGCAGTGTTTTTTTGTTTTAATGAAAACACCCTAGGATAGCTGTGTTGTTAATTTATATTACTACATTTATCTTTTACCTTTGTTCCATCACTGAGTTCATTTCGTAGAAAAAGAGCTGCAGGAGCTCATTAGCATATCTAATAGGCTATTAGCATAATAGGTCATTAGCATATGCCACGCCCCCTGACATCACTGGAAGTGATGTCAGAAGGGGAAGCAAAAAGGGGGGGAGGCATCTTCAAAAGCCTCCCCTTCCCCAGCTGACCTGCCAAGGCGGGCTGGGGGACAGAAGTGAAGAGAGAAGGGGTTTAA